TCGTGGCTAACACCGTTTTCCTTCAAATAAAGATGGAAGCCGTTTGCGATGATTTATCCGGTCATTTAAAGAGAAAGGCAGACTTTTCCTCCTCTAATACAAAGCAATAAAAACAAACAGTGCAGTGTTCCCCTCCTCTCTCTCTTCCTACTCTGCTTCCTTCACCCGAGTGATGTGTATGTAACCCCCTCTGAGCCACGGCTGTCCTCTCTCTCTCTCTCTCTCTCTCTCTCTCTCTCTCTCTCCCTTTCCCTCCCGTCTCTAACGCTGACTAATAAGTTCACCAACCCTCACTTCAGGCTAAACACAACCAGATAATCCTGTTATTTCAAGTGAGTTGCTAAATTAAGTGAGGAATACAAACACTTTTCTTTGATAGTGCCATCTACATGTGACGCTTTTGCACTGTTAAAACTGTCTGCTAGATGTTGTGTGTACTCATCAGTAGATGTTATTATTTTATTGATCAGGAAACTAAAGTGTATGAAGTTTTTTTCATACTGCCAAGCCCGTTTTGATCTGTAGCCAACCCAGCACTTTTCATTTGTTAAAGGTAAAACACACATTTAAAGGTATAGCCTACACAGAAAAAAAATTTAATTAAAAAGTTTTACACTTAAAGAAATATTGTGTTGATATAACACGATTTTTATTTCTAGGTGACCAGTAATAAAAACATTAAAAGACAACCGAGATTCACCCAGCTTTAAAGAGCTCGACTGCTCGAGCATTTAAAGCGGCAGAAGACATATAGGCTATCTGTAGCACGTTCATAATACACAGAACGTTATCGTCTGTTGGTGTGGACGCTAATAATTATCGTTTTTGTCTGTGACCTCCAGACAAACCAGTCTTCTAGAAAAAGCTTTTATTCTGTGTGGAGCGACCCGCCCCCTCATGGGCGCTGACAAATTGACATCACATGACTAGCCTTCTCAAACAGTTGACTGAGTTACTAATAATGAACCGCCAATGAACGGTAGGCTACAACAATTTATTGTGAATTAATCTAAAAATGCCCCATAAGTGAATGTGTGGTATGAAATAGAGAAAACATAAACAAAAAAGCAACAAAAGATAAACAAACTGCTTCATTGAAGAAGCAGCATTTAAACAAACTTAATGCATCTAGTTCAAATCCACTGGTACTGTTGGGACAAAAAAGTCAGCTAAATACATACAGTTCAGTTTGAACTCTTAAAATGTATGTCTTATGACAGAATTAGAGTAGTATGCCAGTTTGACATTTCAAATGAAGTCAAAACTTACTGAGAGCAGCTTTAAGAGATACGTCTTCCATCAATTATTAAAATATGAAATAAACAAACAAAAACAAAATAATAAAAAGTAGAATGTTGTTAGAATGCTGTAGGCTGATTATAGAGGCCACATAATATTCGTATACCTCTACTATGATGTTTTACAAGTGGCATGAAGACAATGAATTATTCAAAATACTGTGTCTGGATCTTACAGTCCAGTAAACCCACTGCATGCTGTGACACAGTTTTTCTCACATGCATTCATACACAGACTTGTGTACAAATATTTGAACATGCAATACTTTAAGACATTATTACTGATTATTGATTTGCTGAATTGTAAGTTATCACATGGTAATAAATATAGAGCAGGTTTGTACGTGTACTCTTGCAACCCTGCTATGGTCTCTGCGTTTTATGATCCATACAGTAAGTGTGTGACGATTAGGTAAAGCTGCATGTGCTGCATTTGTGACTTGATTCTTCTGTGAACTTGTATTAATCTCCTAAGAAGGGTTAATACTTAAACAGCTAAAAACACAATAAATCATGTCAGATTCACCTTATGAAATAAAACACTTGTCACTTTACTCATGTGTTGTGATGTGTTGTGTAAGATGAATAGTTTTATTATAAAAGGTGAAATTATTGTGTGAGCTTGGATGAACAGGAGGGAGTTAAAATCACTCAAAATAAGCCTTTGCTTTTGTCTTCCTCGATTTCTGCAACCAGTCACCCAGGCAAAAGCTCAAGGTGAGAGTTCAGGCACATCGAGTCCTGAGTAATCAAAAATGGCAGCAGTACAAGGCTGAAATGAACGCATGTGCAATATCCGTGTTTCCGTCAGGAGTCTGGATTACCTTTCATTTGACACAGACCTGTGCATATTTACAGAACACATTCTCAAAACATAATTCATGGAAATAAACAATGTAGTTTGCTGGGTCTCCGCTTGTCAAACCCCTCCTTAAAAGCATTTCTCTGAAATCACAACATGATTCATGGTCTTTATGACTGACCCAGTATCAAATGACTATCTCAAAATAAATTCTGACCAATACGTATCAAATTACGCAACCAGCACAGAGAAAGACAGTACATAAACTTGGTGTGAATTAACAACCAAGACATTAATCTCAGTGGTGTTACTGCTGCCACCTGGCTGAAGTGGAAGATGGCATCACAACAAACAATAGCTATAAAGAGAATTGGCAAACAGTGTTAGGCAAACTGAAAACGACCTATTAAGGGTATAACAACAGAAAGCCAGTGAGATAGGGATCTGGAGAGGAACAGAGCGAGTGAGGATGCCTGCAGTGGGTGGGGAGAGGAAACAAAAGCGCCATTTTGATGAGAGATATGTTTGATTAGACCACAGCTGTGGCCATTGAGAGAAACTGAAGGAATAATGAGGAAACCAATGCATTTATAACACAGCTGTTGTGTTAAGCATTTGTGTAAAAATGCAGGGATAAGGATTAAAGATAAAAAAATAGAAAATTTGCTGAGGCCCCCTGATTGAAAACTCTAGGCAATTGAAACTTGATTTCTGACCATTTATAACATGTTTGTTGGCAGTCTAAAAAAATATAATATCAATTGCATGCTGCTATATAGTTTTCCAAATGTGTTCCCTTGCATGGTTGGTAATTATCATTCCATGTTCAATGTATATGAGATACCAATAGATGGCAACAGTGGACTGATTGAGTCAGTCCTGCCTGATTTTAACAAAGACGCTTTTGAGGAGGTTTCAGAGCTTTTGGCACACATTTCTGCTATCTAAAAAGTAATGTGATCAGCCTTTGCTGCCACAGACCATGTCAGGGATTTCTCATTAGGTAAAACAGAACAAATAATAGAGAAGAAACTTTGTTGAAAGTTCAGGTGACATCTGCAAATGGCACATTTTTTAAATCAAATATGTTCTGGATCAGGCTGTGTCTGTCTGTCTGTCTGTCTGTCTCTCTGTCTGTGTGTGTGTTTGTTAACTTGTGTCTCTAGGCTAAAATACAGCATGTCTTTGTGAGTGCTTGGCTTTTGGTCAGAAATAGTCTCTGATTAGAGTGACTGGGCCACTCACTTATCAAAGTTTCAGTTATCTCTCCTCTCATGACCTTATTTTCCCATCTTTCCCTCTCACTGCAGTGGTTATTATTCTGCATCAAACGTTCTGTTCCAGCTTTACCAAAGCTGCATGCCCTCTTGAGTCCACAAATCACATTCTTCACAGCCAAGGTTGTAAGACCCATTCAGAGCACAGAATGAGAGGCCCAACTGGGCTTGGCATTGAAAATATGTGTCTCTCTGTGTGTGGTGAGTGTCCCAAAAAGTAACAAATGTTGAGAAGGGTCACTGTTTGACTGTCTTTCTGTTTTCTGGCTCTCCCCGGAGAATTACTGTATATTTTCATCTTGGGAAGAGGACACCTGTTCAGGAATGTGGAGGAGGTATAGGGGGGCAGTATTAATAGGTGCTGACAAGCTGGAACCTGAAAAAAGAAGCCTACCTGAAGACTGGTTCATAGGCTGTGTTTCAAACATCCACCTGACTAATTTAATTATCACAATATTTTAACTTTACTGTGGTTAGACAGTAAGTTTGTTTATAACTCAATTGAGAGCTTAGATCAAACCGTAAGTATGGACAAAATTTAAGCAGAATCACATAATATTTTTATTTAGGCTACATGCACTCCCTTTTATTTGGATTATTTATACAGTTCAAAAAGTAAAATGAAAAGTGTCACAAAAGTCCAGGCTGTATCCGAAATCACCCCTATACCCGCATTCAAGGGTCCCGACAATACTCCTCTAATATAGTCCACCTGATTTCGAAAACATCCCAAAGCAGCCCAAAACATCAAGCTTTACATGTGACTGAGCAATGCACAGACTCCGGCTTTTCCATTTCCTGTGAGAAACCGAATTAAACCGAAGCCAGAGAAAACACATGGCTGTTTCGAAAACACATACACTTCATTTGAACTTAAGATCTTTAAAAAAGTTTGTTCTATATGGTATGAATGTGGGTGGTGTGAATGTAATCTGGATGTATTACATTTGTCATGCTGTCAATGACCTACCATCATCAGCCATTCACACCTCTCCTGTAACGTCCACTGGATAATGTGCATCTCTGAACCTTGCTGGAAATAGTAAGACATGTAGTTTCACCTACTGTTTTATGAATGCTGCAGACAAACTAGAACAGCTGTGGGTGAAAGCAGGATCTCTGGCCAAAAATGTTCCTCACCGTGAACACAGGCAAGCCTTCAAACAGTGAAATATCCTAAATATCCGAATTCATAAATTAAGACGTGGGAATTTGAGCAATGAGAGGTTGGAATATATTTAATTTATAAAAGAAAGATAAATGATAATTTCTGCTCATTTTTGAATGACTAGGATAGGCCTATATCCATGTAGTTAATGGGCTTTGTTTGGGTTTTTCATAAGAAGTCAAATTCTTTGGCTCACTGCGCGATTCGTGTTTAACATTCTTTCTTGGAAAGAGGAAAAACGAGCATAAAAAGGGGGGAAATCTGTACCAGAGAAAAGCGAAAACTATGATTCCTCATGTTAGATACATCCTGCCAGCAGCACATGCTTCTAAATACTGGAATGACAACGGAAAGAAAAAAGAAAAGAAAAACACTCCCTCGTCTGTTCGCTTTTTCTTCCTTCACTTCCTTACCCTCACCCCACCCCCCGTCTCTCTCTCTCTCTCTCTTGTCCTTCTCGCGCTCCAATTTAGTTCGTCGTTGAAAACATGAAGGAAAAGAAGAGCAAATTCCAGCGGGGACCAAAGTCAAGTTAAAGTTTCACCTGAACTGGGAACTCATCATTACCGAGCGGATGGACGGACAGGAAGGGAAATATCAATTCAAGTCCTTGCAGTGATAAGCGCTTAGATGAATAAACAATCGCTGAAGTCATAAACTGCCCGCGTGCGTTGAGCCAGCCGGACTCGAGGCATTCGCTCGGGCTCTGGTTCTGTCCACTGAAGGTCAGAAACTTCAAACCGAGAAGCAGAGGCGTCGCCACCCGCCGACTCAGCAGTCATGGCTGGGGCGAAACCGGGAGTACACGCGTTGCAGCTCAAACCGGTGTCTGTCCATGAGGTGCTCAAACGGGGGAGCAAGTTTATCAAATGGGACGAGGTAAGATATCGTCCCTGTGCATGTCTGTGATTTTATGTAGCGTGATAGTCGACTAGTGTTACATGTTGAAGTAATTTAAAGGGGAACATCTGACACCCAGGATCTGGAGTTCAACACTCTTCTAGTAGATCTCGAGTTCTTGTGTTTTGGGTCTCATATTCATAACACTCAACTTGTGTTCTGTTTGCTGTTTTTTTCTTCATACCTTGATGTTCGAAAGGCTTTTAAGTGTTTGTGTTTACAATATAAATATTCTTATCTACTGAGAAAACAAACAAACAAAAAATCAAAACAATCTTTCTTAGTGTGCTGAATGTGTTAGGTCATGAAATTCATGATATGGAGCTGAGTAGTTTCTCGACTGATTTGTTGATCAGTTTAGTGTCTGACAAGAAACACTGTGACTGAGGACAATTTTCTGATCCATGCTTATCAAACCCCATCCTCAGTGCCATTAGTCAGGAGACCGTGGTATTGTTTGGGTCTTTAAAACTTTTTCACATTGAAGGAAGAACAGAAGTTCAAAAGCATCCTCACAATATTATGTTAATGTTAGGAGATTGTTAAGGGTTAGGTAAGCGATATTAGGAGATTAACTTGATATCAGGTTGTAGAAATATAAATAATATTGAACATACCACACTTTTAAAAACCCGAACCAACAGGTACATTCAATCAGTCAAATGAAAGTACTGTATATAAATAAGACATCCATAAAATTAATTTGTAGTAGCTATAGATGAAAATATAACAAATAACATATTGATTTAGGTATGTTACATGAATGTAGACTTCCAGAACGTATCCAGATGATTAAATCCGCCTCACACTGATAGAGATCAAGATGTCCCTTTTCGGGAAAGTTTGAGGTACTGCTCATATGAAGGCAATTAGAATAAATTAATAAGTTAATAATAAACTGGAACAAGATAAATTGTTTTCTTATTAAAATATTTTTTTCTTCATATGTATCCTATTTATTGTAACCCACTCCGTAAAATGTCACTTGAGGAAAGCAGTATTTTCATTAAAGGTTCAAGAATGTTATTTCATTCACTGGAAACAGAAAAAAAATCCCCCTTGAGAATTTCTTCTAATGGGTTAATGCCAACATAAACCCATATGTTTACAAGAAATCACTCTGAATTCTTCCGTGTAGTTGTTCTCCTGGCAACAAGGGCCTGTGTGTGTCTGTACGGATCATGTTTCAAATCTTGCATTGGATAGCCATTACAGTTGTAATTATGTTGGAGGATTAGGGGGGAGAAAATCTTCACCTCTTTTCTGTTATTTGATCAAATCACTGAGCGCTGCTTTAGCTGATCCCCACTGCTCTTAACTGGAGCTCAAAGTGCCAACACCTTTTGATAAGAGCAGCGTTGAGTAAGGAGAAAGTGGCCTGTACAACTTGATGCACTTCATGTCTTAAAAGTCATTAATAATTAACTTAAGCAGCCCGTAAATGCTGAGTGGTTTGTACTGGGTTAGCTCTATTTAGACTTGCTCCAGGTGTGTGTGTATGAAAGAGAGAGAGGCTGTCGTAAATCTTCAATATTATAGAACTGTTCTGACCGTTGTACAGCGAAAACAGCATTTCATTTGGAGAGTGTGTGCATCCAGATTGTTCGTGCATCCATTGGCAGATGAGTCTATGTCTTTAGAGGCATCCATGAATAAATAACTAGCTGTATTTAACTATAATGGGGTCTTATTTTATCCTTAACTGAGGTCATAACTACTATAGTCATAGCTGCCAGAAAGGCAGTTCTATTCTATTGTCTAGGCCAAGGGTCTTCAATCAGGAGTCCACAGTGGTACTGCAGGGGGTCTGCCAATTACTGTTTGATCACAAATATTTTTTTTGTAAAAAAAACAAAGTCAATTTTAAATATAAGCACCTTGAAGCAAGAGCACCCTCAGTTGATACTGTAATGCTATCATATTATTGGCGATATGTGGATTTATAATGGTTTTCAAAGATAACAGGTGAATGCTGTTAAGTTATGTAAGACAGTGTTATGTTGTAGCTCTAAGTCACAGCGTAAGTCACAGCGTTTCTGATGTCATGCATTTTGTTTGATCACACAGACATGGATAAAAGCTGTTAAGCTGTGCTAGCAAACTCACAATACGTAATTATGTCATGTTGGGGCATGATGGCTTTTTTGTTTTGTGAAGTAACAGTCTGCAGTGTGTTTGAGTCCCTTTTATGCCCTGAATGCTTCTAATGCTGTGACAGTGCAGTTGTGTCACTGATGATTTGCACTGAGGAAATGAAACGGCACAAGACTCGGTTGCATGGTGCTGAATTTCAGACTTCAATGAGGAAGAGGTTGATGCAACAGTGTCTTTCTGTTGATCTCTGCCTCTTTACCACCCTCCTGTTTGTGTGCTGTTAATCTCTCCTTCTCTCTGAAGGAAACTGTAGTCAAACATTGTGGCTACTGACGTGATCTAACGATCTATAATACATGATCTAATTCTCAGAATGAACCGGTGTGAGTCAGACAGTAAGATGTAATGCTCTAGTGCACCTTTAAACATTCAATGAACCATTTCCCAAAACTCGTATAGTCTGGGATTGAAAGCAGACTTGGAGAGGATCCCAAGTGATCATAGAATGGACTGCAGCTAAACGTAATCCCCTCCATCAAGACTGCTGCCTCTCTGGCTACATGATGCACACTCGCACTGCTCTAAATACAGTTGTCACTCCTCTGCTGACTGATCGACCTCACTCTGTACACTCAGAGTTCGGTTAATTGTGACAACTTTACATTGTGTCGCATTCTGCCACTAAATACACTCCTGAAAAAATGTAGGTGGTGACAACTGAATTTTCATTAAATCTGCATGCTGATTATAGCACCCAACTGAGTAACTTAAAGGAGTAGTTCACTTCCAGACTGAAAATCCTGACATCATTTACTCACCCTCCACTTGTTCCAAACCAGTATGAGTTTCTTTCTTCTGTTGAACACAAAAGATATTTTGAAAAATGTTGATGGGCACTATTGACTTCCATAGTAGGAAAAAAAATACTATGGAAGTCAATGGTGCCCATCAACTGTTCGGATATATTTTTCAAAATATCATCTTTTCTGTTCAACAGAAGAAAGAAACTCATACAGGTTTGGAATAAGTTGAGGGTGAGTAAATGATGACATTATGTTCATTCTGGAAGTGAACTTATCCTTTAATGCAATAATTTAATTAAAAGCATTAAACACTTAGAACGTTGTTTAAAAGCAACACATTTAAATCAAAGTCCCTGTAAATGACAGACATCAATTTCTTCACTGACTATATTTGTAATGTCACTGGGAGCTGTTTTTAGTCGTGCAGCTCCAGTCTCTCCAGTTGATCTGTTTAATGGATATGTACGTTATATCGTAAACAAACAGGTGATTTGGCATTTTTAAAATGCAACTTCCTATAACTGCAATACTGAGCGATGATTGGCTCTTTTAATTACAGCCATATTTAGTTTTAGGATTTTTCCCATTCATGTTCACTATCTTTCAAAAGTTGGTTTCACTTTTTTTTTTTTACTTAATACTTTTATTCAGCAAGGGTGCATTAAATTGATCTTAAGTGATAGTAGACATTTATAATCTTACTGAGTATTTCTATTTCAAAATATTCTGTTAAACTTTATATTTCTCAAAAACCTCTGAAAAAATTTATCATGGTTTCTACAGCTGTTTTCAATATTGATAATAAAATATTTGATAATATTGTTAATAAAAAAATGCTTCTTGAGCACCAAATTGGCATATTAAAATGATGAAACTAAAGACTGCAATAATGGCTGGTGAAAACTCACAGGAATACATTTCATTTTAAAATATACTAAATTAGTGTATAAGCAAAATAGGAAAAAATTATAAATTGTTATTTTACAGTATTTTTAATCAAATACCTACATGTAGCCTTGGTGAGCATAAGAGGCTTTTTTTAAACATTAAAAAAAGAAATCTTGCCAGCCCCAAACCTTTGAACAGTAGTAAGTATACAATTGAACTGTCTTTCTCTTAAACATTCTCTGTTTAAATTAATTGTTCACTCCTAAAACTTTGCATTGTGCACATGGCCAGTGAGTAACTTTTATTTATTTTAAAGGGGTGGTTGATTGCGATTTCACTTTTTTAACGTTAGTTAGTGTGTAATGTTTCTGTTTGAGCATAAACAATATCTGCAAAGTTACGAAGCTGAAAGTTCAATGCAAACGGAGATATCGTCTTTTAAAATTCTGGCAGTTTAATGCCTACAAAAACGGCTGGTAGGGACTACAACAAGTTACTTCCCGGGTTCGTGACATAACAAACCCAGATAAACCCACCCCCGGGGAAAGACAGCAAAGGGGGCGATGCCATGCTGCACTGCTTTAGAGAAGAGGAAGAGAAAACTAGGGGTGCACGTAAAAATCTGTTCAGGTATGAATCGCAATTCTGTCTTCTAACGATTCTAATGGATTCACAAGTTTCAAAATGTTGCTGTACTGTATTAAAGCTTTAATCAGCATAAAACCGTATATTAAAAGCTAACATAAGCAGTAGCATTTACAAAAGTGTATCTAAAAGTATGAGACAACAACAAACAAAAAACATAGGCCTACCATTAAAAGCTGTGCTTGCACAGGTTCTGCATGATCCTCTTCAATAATATCCTCTGCTTCTCAATCGGGCTCAAACTGATAAGCGATATTAACGATGCCGTTGTTTACAATACAACCGGAGCACATGCCGCTGAGGTGAGGGGCGGGGCGCTTAGACGCGCACTAGAGGCGGTTTAGCCAATCACAACACACTGGGCTAGCACTGGACTTGCATGTAGTTCAGTGATGTTAGTGTTGTTGTACTGATGCCCCTGAGCACTTCAGCTAGCTGTGAACTTTGACTTGCAAATTTGTCTTCACTCTTCCGCTTGACAGGTGTCTGGTGTGAAAGTGAGCAATGAGGGCTGTAGTTATAGGAATATTTTGGAGCTGTGAGGAGGTA